GGGAGAGCGGGAGAGGGAAATGGCTGCTGGCAAAGCCAGGGGGGGCTGCAGGGGCAGACCTCTGTGTTCAGTGTGGGATTTGAGGGTGCAGACGTCTCCTCTTCGGCGTTGGTCACATTTGTTTCTCCGCAGGCAGCAGCTCCATCTCTGGGAGATCTTTTTCGGCACCCAAATTTCAGTTGTACGGGCCCGGGTGAGATGGGGGATGCTCTTCGGGGCAGCTGAAGCGAGGAAGCGCAGGTAAATGTCACGCTGGCGTTAAAGCCCATCTTCTCTCAGACGCACCAAAATCCTTTTGGTGGCCGTTGCCATGTTTGATGAGGAGGAACGTGGGCCTACCGTGAGGGAAAGGTGGAATGAAAAATAAAATAAAAGCAGCAGCCAGGGGTGTGGTGGGATGTAGGTATTTGTACGCTGACCTGTGGGGCAGCCCTGGAGGGAAAATGGGAAAGTGCCGGGGGCGGAAAAAAAAGCATTGGAGAGGTGCAGGGAGGTGTCTGAGGGAGCCGCAGGCGGTGGGGGGGCAGAGGGTGGGCCAAAAGATCAGGCCCAAGAGATTTTTACTCAAACTTGCTGGCTACTGCAGCTGCCTGGGCTCGTGCTGGACCAAAAAAGCTCATTTGTGCTCAGAGAGCGGGACGTGCAGGAGGAGCCTCTGCGATAGAGCAAGGGGTTTTGATAGGAAACGGGCTTCGAAGCAGGCGAGCAGCGGGGTGCACGTTAACCATCAGCCCCTTTTTCCTTCCCAGGGCCAAAATCCACGTGATCCGCAGCAGCGACCTTGTGTCTGAACAAGTCGGGGGCTCGCAAGGGGCTTGAGCAGTCACGGAGGAAGACCAAGATCGTAAAGGATGCAGGTCGTTACCTGACCACGGGGGAAGATTAAACAGGCTCCTGTGGCGAGCCCTGTGTTGCATCTGCCACCACTACAGGACACATATGTGCCTAATGTCTGTCCAAAAAGAACCCCTTCCCTCAAACCGCGTTTTAAATTCACGCTTTTTCACTCCTCACTGAGACTTTTTAACCGAGGAGGGGCTTTTTGTTTGGGTTTTTTTTCCCTCCTGTCACCCTCACACCTCCCCATCTCGATCCTTGCCCAGGATGCTGAGGGTGTAGTTGCATCGGACGAACACTTCCCGGTTTTGTTACGACTCATTTTACATAAACACCTACGAATAGCTTTAAAAATAACATTTCTAGCTGAAGAGGCTCCCTGCCATATCGGGGAATGCCAGGTGAGGTGGAAACATCCGCCAGCAGCCGGGCTTTCGCAGCACCCACGGTCCCGGTCGGAGGCAAACGCTGCCCATTTCTGTGGAATATTTGAACCGTTTTGTGCCATGAGAAAATGCGTGGCGGCAGCGCTCGTCAGGTATTTTACAAGCATTTCCCAACAAACCAACAGGCAAGATGAGCCTGAGCTGAGGGTTTCGAGGAGGAAGGGCTTGGTTGAATTGAGAGGGTTATTTTTGGAGACGGATTTATCAGGGAGCAGAACGAAACCGCAGGAACCGGGATGTTTCCAGTCAAAAGCATGTCAGCGGGGAATGA